CGTCCTTTGTATCGGCAAATTTCTTTCTTGCTTTATTCACTCACTATGGTAGTCCTCTTTTTTTTTTTGGGACAATGAAAGCATATATATTATCAAATGATACGTAGTCCTCTTGATCTACATGTCTTTCTGTCTTTACATGTTACCTGCTTATGGTCTCTCCTCTGTTCTCCTGCAACCCCAGTCCAAACTACTCCACCCAGCAACAAAGCCTAAACCCAGTATCTCTCTCTCTCGCTAAAACCCTTTATACAATCACAGAGATGGAAGCTGAAGTGAGAAGTTCTAGTTGTGCAAGTTACCAAAATGGCATGCGATTCTTAAGGTCGTTGCAGGTTTCAAATCAAAACTGTTTTACGTTCGGTTATTCGGTAAGCATGTGATGTTTCGGTTAATATTAACCGAATTGTTTTATGCTCGGTTGTTCGGTAATCGGTAAGTATGTGATGATTCTAAAGTTCGGTCAATATTAACCGAACATTTCTTCGGTTCGGTTTCCAAATTCGGAAGAACCGATTGCAGAACAGAAATCTTCCCTCACTCACAGTCACAGACACCTGTTTCTTTCTTTTACTTTCTTTTAGATTTGTGTGTGTTGAATTAATACCCCCAAAAACAAAACTAGCACCCGCCTCCATTTTCCCTCCATCCAAAAATTCTGTTCCCGCTCTAAAGTCTAATCTTTGCTCGTTTGCATTTTGTTTTCCCGCTGGGTTATCAACCCAGGACAGTAAAAAAAAGGGCACTACTTATTAAGATCCTCACTGCTGTTTTTTCTCTAAGCCAAGCCAACAGAGGAGGCAGCTCCGAGCTGAAATCCCAACTTTCTCTCTCTCAATATCGTAGCACAAGAAAAAGGCTTCAAGGTACTACTCTTACTCTTCTGTTGGGTTCTCTCTGTTTTTTCTGTTTTCTTTGTTCCTTCTTTCATTTATGTTGGTCTCATTGTAAGGCGATCTTAGGTTGATACCCTCCTTATAGAACTTGTTTTCAGCCGCAGTAGTAGTAATTTTGGGTCAATATCTTGATCTCGCTATTAGATTTTACTTGCTTCGGTTGTGATATTGGGTATAATACTGGTGTATTTAAAAAAAAAAGAAAGAAAAAGACTTGCATTTTTCTTCTTCTTTTTTCGGTGTTGTTAGTGTTAATGTTATGTTGTTAGGGTTGGATTCATAAACACTTGTGAAAAAAGCACTTGGCTTTGGTAGAGATAATTGATGCTCTAGGCATCATCTAATTTTGGCTTGTTTGTTTCACCTAGGAGGAAAAAATTTGGTTCTCCTGCATTTGTACTGGTCTCTACACAATATTTGGTATTTGATTCTCAAAAAAAATAAAACTTCTTTAGAAGGAAAGATTAGCTCATACTAGTAACTGATAATCAGATACTATTGTTTTCTTTTCTTAGGATTAGCTCATTATACAAATATTGTTTTGAAATTTGTGCAGGGCTTTAGTCATGTCCATCATGCCAACACAACCAGCTACCTTGCTCAATGATGTCTCCAATCCCGCGGATTCGCCAATGGAAGAGAGCGTCAATTCCTACACACCAGTAGAAATTGATGGTTCTCATTCACCAGTTGAAGTCGATTCTTACAGACCAAGAGAAATTATAACAGGTTCTGTCCCCAGGTCTAATGGGAAAGTAAGAAGTGTGGTTTGGAATTATTTCACAAAGAAGGAAGTGAATGGAGAAGTTAAAGCTGAGTGCAACAACTGCAAAATGTTGCTTGTAGGGAAATCAACTAATGGGACTAGTGGTCTGCATGCACATTACAGGAGGTGTCTGAAGCGAGAAGCACCGACCAAATTGCCTCCTCGTACCCAAGCGGTTGAAATGAATACTTCTCCTTTGGAATCTCAGGGGCAAGCAGTAACTATAACGAGTGTGTGGAATCATTTCACGAAGAAGAACTTGAATGGAGAAGTTAAAGCTGAGTGCAACAACTGCAAAATGTTGCTCGTAGGGACATCAACTAATGGGACTAGTGGTCTGCACGCACATCTCAAGAGGTGTCAAAAGAGAAAACCAACCAAGTCCGGGCAGAAGCTTATGACAAACTATTTTAGCAAGTGGCAGGGAAAATTTTAGCAAGTGGATATCCAGGCACTGATTGGTGGTGATGTTGGAAATACTTTATGGCATCACTGCATCATTTGGTAGTAGAAAGAACATGAAAATATGTGTACCCTGTCAAAAGGCTGCTGATTTTGACAGGGTACTACTGCTGATTTTGGTCTCGGTTGTAGTCAGCTTGAATTGCTTGCAATTGTCTTTACAAAAGGCTGTATGGACTGCTTACGTTTGTTGATGAATGACTACTGTATGGTTTTCGACTAATAGGCAGCAATTTTGTCATTACAATCTGCTTATTGCATTACAAAGATTGCTTTGGATCATTTATTTGGTGGATGATGTTTCTACCGAGGAAAGCTGTCCTTTCGTATGTTGTTGTGGCGGGAAGGTATACTACCAAATCAGTTGGATGATGAGTTTGCCATTTTGGACACTGGTATGAAGGTTAAATATTGAGTTTTGCAAGAGGCACACTGATCATTCATGTGTCTAAAATGGCTTTTCTATACTTCTCCAATACAATACTTGTTCAGTAGGCACTCGAATTACTTGGATGACTGTGTTAGATGTCGAAATTTTTATGGCGAGCAATGACGGCTTCATTACAAAATACCCCCTGTACTTTAGGTCAAAATAGGATCACCCCCTGACAAAAAAAAACCGGTATTTAACCCCCTAAACTTTAAAATTCAACGGTTAATCACTTATGGTTGAACCGATTCCAACTCCGTTAACAGAATTAACAGACCTCATGGATTTTCGACACGTGGATTGTGCAGGACCGTTGATTTGTACCTTGAATTATTTTCCTTTTTTTCTTTTTTTTAGTTTCTTTTTCTCTCTTTTTTCTTCTACCTTTCGTTTATTTTTTCTCTTCTTTTTTTTTCTTCTTCTCTTTTTTTCTCTCTTTTTTCTTCCTCACCTGACCTTTCTTTTTTCTTTTTTTTTCTTCCTTTTTCTTCTTTACTCTGCCCCCTCCTCCTCCTCCCACCGTCTCCTTCCTCCTCCTACGCATGCCGCCTCCCTCCTCCTCCTCCTACCCATGCCGCCTCCCTCCTTCTCGCCCGGCATAATGAAAGGCGTGGGAGTGGAGAATGAGGCACTCACCATGATGGCACCACTCGTCGCAGGCCTACTCCAATACAACATCAAGCCAAACACTACCGTCACACTTGCTCTGGCTTCCAAGGAAGTGGCTTATGGAGAGGTTGAGAAGGAGTCGTGGACCTCGAGGGTGAAGAACTCCAGGTACTGGTCGTGGACCTTCTGGATGGAGTCGAAGGAGGAAAGAAAGGGAGGGAGGGGAGATGACATCGCTGTTTGTATATCAGGTGGCGGGGGATCCGACTGTGGGAAAGCCAGAGATGGCGGAATTCGTGGAGACGGAGACGGTCGGAGCAGGGATAAGGGCGATGGGGGAGTCGACGGAGTGTGGGATTTGGATTTGGTTTTGGCTTTGATTTCTTGGATTTTAGATTTTGATTTTAGTTTTTGGGTTAGGAATTGGCCGGTGGTTGCAATTCTGGCCGCCAAGCTTCAGAAACTCCTCATGCTCTCCTCCCATCGCCGCCGCCTCCTCTCCAAGATGGTTCACCTCGCCCCTGACCTGGGCTTTCCGGCCAATTTTTGCTCCCGCCTCTGCAACGACTACCCGGATAAGTTCCGGACTGTGGACACCTCCTATGGCCGCGCACTTGAGCTTGTCTCCTGGGATGAGGAGCTGGCCGTTCCTCTGCCGGCTCTGGCTGATGTCTCGCTGGATTTGATAGTGGATAGGCCATTGAAGTTCAAGCATTTGAGGCTCCGGAAGGGGCGGAATGTGAAGAGATGCCACCGGGGTCTTCTGATTAAGAATTCTTTTTAACCTTTTTTTGTTTTTTTTAAAAATAAAATAAGAGAAATAAATTTTATCAAATATTGTTTTAAATGTAATAATTATTAAAGTTTGTTTTTCCTTTCTTTTCCTTATTTTTATAATATTTTTATTTTTAAGAGAATAAAATTTTGAAAAATATAAAGTAATTTTTGTCATCTTTTAAATTTTTAAAAAATTAAAGAATCAATTTGAAAAATTTTTAACTAAAAATTCCGGTTTTATGAAATTTTAGAAATCCAAAAAATAATTTTATATTTATTTTCTCTTTTTCATAAAGATTTTTTTTCGTTTTTTATAATAAAATAATAGACAAATTAATTTTATCAAATGGATTAACTAAGTTAAAATTTTCCTCCAATTTTTTCTTCTTTATCTTTTTTTTCTTGTGATATAAATATTTTATTCTTTTAGTTTTGCTTTAAAAAGTAATAATTATTAGATAGTTTATTTTTTTCCTATTTTTATATTTTTTCTAAAAATTAAAATGAAAACAGAATCAAATGGTAGTGATGTTGCCACATGTCAAACATCCGTGCATTCCGTTAAGTCAACTAACACCCATCTAAAACCCCTAACGGAATGAGGTAAAATGCGAAATTACAAAGTTTAGGGGGTCAAATACCGGTTTTTTTTGTCAGGGGGTGATCCTATTTTGACCTAAAGTACAGGGGGTATTTTGTAATGAAGCCGAGCAATGACATTCTTGATTTGTGTTCCAAAAATCATCTCTTTGGTATTGTCATCTTACCACTAACGTTAACTACGGAGGGAAAGTTTAGCTGAAAAATGTGGGAGTGGTTTTCGAGAAAAAAAAAATGGAGAAGTTTTACTTTTTTACATTTGACTATTCGATAATTACGTGGGCCCAATTGAGTGAATCCACACAGAAAGCCCAAAGCCCATCACACTAGACCGAAAACAACCAAGCAACACATTTTCCTCGCTTTTTTTCAGATTCAATTAAACGCACCTTTTCTCCATGAGCGCGGGTGTTTTGTAAGATTGGACCTCCTCGATCTTGATCCTTAACCAGGAAAAAAAATGGCCACCGAATCCACCGGCGCGTCGTCCCAACCTCCGGCCAAACCGCCTTCCGCCGCCAACGGACGAGGCGGCCAACCGCATCCGGCGCCTCCTGCTCCGGCCGCATCGCCTGCTCCGAACAGGAGCTCGAATCTGCCGCAGCCTACGCCGCCCGGCGAGGCAGGGGCCGGGAGCGGGAATGTCGGGATGTCGACGTTCGCTAGGCTAACCAGCGGGCTTGGACTGCGGTTCCCTTCGGTATCGGAGGAAACCGGCAAAGAACAGGGCAATGCAGCTTCATCCCAAGCTGGTGCGGTTTTCGAATCGTTGACTAAAGGTTTGGTGGACTCGTCGAAAAGCGCCGTGAAGGTTTTGCAGCTCAGGGCGCGTCACGCCGTTTCGCAGAATAAGCGGAGATATCAGGTTGCTTGCCCTCTACAGTGCAGCTGCATTTCCAATTTTCGACTAAATGTAATTGTGTGTGTATATATTTTGTTTTCGTTTTGGTTTCAGGAAGGAGATTTTGATTTGGATATGGCTTATATCACTGAGAATGTAATTGCTATGGGTTTTCCTGCTGGGGATTTGAGTTCTGGGATCTTCGGGTTCTTTGAGGTGATGCAGTTGTGATCTAGTCGAGATTTACAATTTAGCTAACATGTTTCAGTGCATTTATTTACATGAAACGCGAGTATCTGGATTTTGGTGCAGGGACTCTATCGAAATCACATGGAAGAGGTTATAAGGTTCTTTGAGACACATCACAAGGTAAAATTATTCTTTTCCTTTGTGTATTCCTTTTGGTAGTTCCTGTCGATTCATATGGAATTGTTCAGTTATGACATTTACCCGAGCAGAGTTTTGGCCCGTGGTGTGTCAGCGGGAACTGCATTGTTTGCTTATACTGTAGTCATTTTCTTTGCAGGATAAATACAAAGTTTACAATCTTTGTTCCGAGAGACTGTACGATGCATCACGATTTGAGGGAAAGGTGTGCTTTCTTTTTTCTGCATTTGCTTTGAACATTCAAATTGTATTTCATACTATCTAAGACATTTTTTGGTTCCTTCTGTCATAATTCTCCACTGACAAGTCCATGCGTGCATAGTTGCTCGCCTTCCGTTTAGTATTAATGATTTTGCAAGTGATTCTACCAGCTACGGTTAAAAGGTTACGTGCTACTGTACAACGGGAAGATATTTTGTTTTGAAAGCATCTTCATTACCTGTGAAAATATTAGTGTTCCAAGCACTGGTGATAAGTATCTAACCGCAGAGATGAAGTCAATTGCCTTCCAAGCATACACTCAAAGGTCCATATGTTTCTGGCAATGTAATAATGCTCATAAATTTTGAGAGTATCTAAGTCTAAGTTTACAAAAATTTCTAATACCATTCTCTCTTAGACCTGAAGTAATGGAAAAACCAAAATTTTTGAGTCCCGACCATCAATCATGCTGCCCGGGATGCGCTAGGCCAAAAAAGTTTGGACAGAAAATGTTGTTGTTGTTGTTGGAAGAGTTTCTGTTAAGGTCTTCCTGACTATTTGAATTGTGTGATAAAGTTGTAATTGACTTCTTTGCTCTTGTCAGCACACACACACATATGTATATACAATGCACACGTGGATGCACGCTCACTAGCACACTTCACAAACAATATCTCACTGGATTATACAACTGAAATGTATTTCTGGATTGCATGGAAAAAAGAACAGTCAAGAAACAATTCAGTTTCAGCTGATAATCTCATCTGCCGATTATGGAATACAGAATCAATAAAATGCAAAGATTTTAGTTAACCCGGGCTTCTCTTATTCAAATCTTTCCAGGTAGCCTGCTTCCCGTTTGATGACCATAATTGCCCTCCTCTTCAACTGATAACATTGTTTTGTCGAAGTGCATATTCATGGTTGAAGGAGGATATTCAAAATGTTGTGGTTGTGCATTGTAAAGCTGGGATGGGAAGGACAGGTTTGATGATATGTAGCCTTCTCCTGTTCCTTAAGGTGAGATGCTATCCACCTTCATTAACAATCTTGTAGGACGGTGGAAGTTGGACTGTATCAATGGATATAACCCCTTTGGTATGAATAGTTTATTAGTTTATTTGTACTGAGTTAGTGATTGTGTTATGATGTTTTTGTTCTTTCTGCAGTTCTTCCCAACTTCTGACGAGGCAATTGATTACTTCAACAAGAAAAGATGCGTGGACGGCAAGGCTCTAGTTCTTCCAAGTCAGATTGTTAGTTCTTTTGTTGGTTACTTTGTTGTCCTTTTCAGGATCTTCTAGCTCATCTTCTTCACATTCTACTGAAAAGTTAATGTTTTGTTCTGTTTGGCAGAGATATGTTAAATACTTTGAGCGCATCTTAACATACTTCAATGGAGAAAATCAACCTGGACGAAGGTATAAATCTGATAACCCCCTCAAACTTTGCAATCTGACCTGACTCTGTTACTGAAGTTGGGATCATACAGGTGCATGCTCAGGGGATTCCGGGTTCAAAAGTGTCCTTTTTGGTTAAGGCCTTCTATTACCATCTCTAATCATAGTGGTACGCTCCAATTGCTGTAAATTCATCCTACCACCAGTTGTATTAGATAAGCTTGCATCAATATTTGGCTTGTCTCTGACACTTAAGGTTGTTGGCTCATCACATCCATCACTGTGGTACCATTTGAATTTCCTATGGCGCTCCTCAATCCTCATCTAAACTAACCACATGAAGGAGCCTAATGCGAAAGAGAATCATTCACTTGTATTATGAGCAAATCCAGTTTCCGATCAGTAGATTTTTTTTCACAGATCTACTAGTACTTGTGTAATAAAATTGAACAAATTTTTTAAGTGCTCCTGTCCATCTTTTTCCTCAAGAATATTTTTTTGAGTTATGCCCCAAATAAAGTTTCTTCTCTGTGCTGATTGGTCCCGTGGCTTCCTTTTGAGGCTAGATCAACCTATCCAAAACCGCTAAATTTTAGGTCTCATCTTCAAAATTGGTCCTCCACTTTGATCTAAACCTTTCAATGTTTTGGTGTAGTTATCATCTGGCAATTAAAATGTGTTTGCCATTCTGGTTCAGACAACTATCCAATAAATATCCAACCTATCTGAACTTCCAGGTCGTATGGAACTTTGAAAACTTTGATTTAGGGCTCTTAAGTATGACTCTATCTGGCGACCCTGCTGGTATAAGAATAAACGTGATTTATAAGCAGTGAAGGTTTTGGTTCGGAAACAGAAGTTATGTCAAGGATCTAATTTAGGAAAGATGCATTTCAATTTTTTGGAGGGTCTGAATGCATTTTAGCCTCCTTTTGTCATTCTTAGTAAGCATATTGGTCCAATTCAGGCTCTGTCCAGAATTATGTAGGAAGTTCTGGGTCCTTTCTTCTAGTGTTGGAAAGGTTTTGCATTTTTTCGAGACTAGTTTTCTTGCCATTAACCTATGTCGCGTTCTCATGTTTGAACCCTAACACTTTCCCTCTGTACAGGGGTTCTATTCTCAACAAGAAACCATCCAAAAACGAAGGACTTGATGGTAGTTCCAAAATTTAGGTTTATAAACACCATTTTATAAGATTATTAACACTTTATATGGTTGCTTTTCTATTGATATTTCTGCTCTAATCTTTCTTAAAATTCTGATCCAAGTATGCCATATATACCTTTACAGCCAGAAGATTTCTGGATAAGTTCATCAAAGAAAGGAGTATTGATCTTTGCTCTGCCAGGAGAGCCTGGTATAACAGAATTAGTTGGGGATTTCAAAATCCACTTCCATGATCGGCAGGGAGATTTCTACTGGTTTGTGATCATCATCTTCTTTAAGCAGTTTTTTTCCCTGCAAAGCCATCGCCATTGAAGTTTCTAGTCAATTAGTTTTTTCATGAATGGTTGTGAAAACCTGCTCTCGTCCCATCCAGTCTGGTTTTTATCTGGGGATTGACAGTCCTTTTCCTCTTTGTTCAGTTGGTTGAATACAACAATGATTGAGAACAGAAAAACCTTGGATGCTTCAGATCTTGATGGTTTTGACAAGGTACTAAAAATTGCAACAGCTTTTGCTTCTGAACATATCCAACTTGTAGTCTGCATCTTTCTTTTTTTTTTCTTCATTTGTTTCAATTCCCCGTGCTCCATTTTGATGATCTGGTTGCCTATGCTTCCCAGAGAAAACTGCCTTCTCCTGGGTTCCAGGTTGAAATTGTGATGATAGATTATGATGGTACTTTACCAACAAAGTCCAATGCTCACAATACCCGCAAGGAATCTGATGGCACCACCAGTTCAAATAATCTTCCTGTCTCAAGTGGAGTCACAGTTCCTAAGGAAAACCGTCAAGTTGCTGATAATGAAGATGATGTATTCTCGGACAGCGACGGAGAGGAAACTGGAGGTTCAAAAGGCAAGCAAAGTCAAGGTCCTTCTGCTGTTGTATCGCGACCTGACCATGCATCTAATATGACAACGGAGCAAATGAAGAGCTTAGCTCATGGGGCTGAACAACTTTCGCTCCATGACAGCTCTAAGGTGAATGCTTCCAAAAAACCGGGCAATGACAGCGTTCAGAGCCCTGCCTCGGGCCTTACACACACGATTGAAGTCACTGATATTAAGGCAATTGCTGCTGATGCTTCAGTTTTCTCCTTTGGGGATGAAGAAGATTATGAAAGTGAGTGAAGTTGTACGAGGAAAGCATTAACATGAAGTGTGCAGGTAACATCTCACGGGAATTGGAGGCCTGTAAGAGTAATTGAATTCATTGCATTATTCTTTGCATCTAGTTCATTGCTCCTGAAAAGTTCCAGATGTCCATGCTTTTCAGCTGATTATCTCCCGTTTGTACATCTGACTCAATTTCATTCCTTTGCTTTTCATATTCTTCGTACATGTAAAAAAGTCATGTAATCCCCTGTAATGAAAGAAAGGCCGCTGGGATTTCGATGAATGAGTTGAACGGAACACAAAATGTGATATGAGTACATTTTTGTCTAATATAATGTCATGAATAATTCGGCTTATGTTTTGTGGACGGTTTTGAAATTTAAATTATCGCGTATCTTCAACGTAGTCATACCACATGCTAAGAGTGTTTCGTTACGAAATTAGGTCAATTATACGAGATAGATAGATCCACTGGCCACAAACACGAACACGTCACTTTCGTTTTAAACTCAGCATCGCTGCATCGGAACTGGCAGTTCGGACTTGTTTATACATCAATATGCACAACTTAGGTCCCTAGATGTCTGATTGTTTGCCATTTACGGGAACAACTCTTGCAAAAACAAACTAATAAACCACTTCTAAATTAAACGTGCATGCTCTGCAAGGTTTTGAATTCACATGAAATTTCTACTTGGAATCTACTTGATGTCTTTATCCATGAACACCCAATATGTGCTGGTTTCCCTAGTCAATCTCTTCCATTTTACTGAAGGGCTTTTCGATATTTCCCGTGTGATATTTGTAAACTAAAAGCGTAGAACCTTGCGCTCAATCTCGCCAGAATTACTCTCCAAATGATAGACTAGTCTATTCAGAAATTCAAGTAAATATGAAGCACAGATGTAGAAGCTAGGTTAAGGAACTGAATATCTAAATACTTCCCCATGGAAGTTCAGACATAATTAGCCAAGATAATTGAATGACTACAAAAATTACAAGGAAACAGAAAACCAAAAAGTAAAAATATGAAGCCAAAATGAAGAGAAGCAATCTTCCTTAACTTTGAGGACTTTGGCTAAGCCTTTGGAAGACCCAGGGATCACTTGGTAAGCAGCCTCAGCATACTAGACCTACGTAGCCACCCAGGGAACTAAACAATTTCCCACGGTATAGGCAGGAACAGTTCACCTTCACTTTCTCTTTCTAAGTTTCTCATCTTCCAGCCTTTTTTTGAGTCCAGAAATCATCTTATCCTGCATACAGATTTGAAAATCCTTACTTTTTATTTCTTGCTTCAGTTTTTCAATCTCTTCAACGTGTTTATTGGACTGTTCTAACTCCTTTAGTTCCAATTCCTGCTTCAGTCTTTCAATCTCTTTCAAGTGGTCACAACAGTGGTTTGGATCCTTTTGGTTTGGTACTTGTTGCAATATTTTGTCCTCTTCCAAAAGATTCTCAGATTGATCTCTCTTCTGTTTCTTGGCATTGCCTAAATCCTCACCTTCAAACGCTCTCTTCTTCAGCGAAACTTCATCTTGTTTATAATCATGTCTCATCTTCCGAACAAATACGCTAACAATTTCACCCGTTTTTAGTCTGAATGAGATCCGTTTTTGTGGTATCCCAGATGAATCCTGCACAAAGGAGCAATATTTATAGTGGGGTCACAGAAAAGGTGCTTACCTGGTGAAGTTGGACTTCTATCTAAAACACATCTAGACAAATAACCACATTCGCATGCACACTAACTTTTCATACTGCATTTTGAAAATGGTTTCAGCAGCAATCTATGACAAAATCCACAGTGCTACAGCAGGCATGATCCGGCATCATCTTTTCAATAAAGAACAAATTATTGCCATACCTCAAAATGATAATTCTGGCAGCAGAGATGCCAGAAAACCTAAACATCTAGTGGGTTTCCAAAAATCGATTTCCATGCCTCCAGGTACAGAAATATTATGGTGGCTAGATTGAGAAAAACCTTAAAGTTTTAAAGGCAAGAGAAAGAGAAAGACTTAGCATAAGCTAATCAACTTTCACTGCAAATAAAATAGGCAAAGCTAATCAAATTTTGATCAGTCACAGAACATGAGGGTTGAAAGTCAATGTATAAAAACACTGGGAAAAAATTGCAAGGTTCACAAATCAGTTACCATAAATGACAGAATTCACCAACCACCATATACCTTGTTTGAATTGGCATTCAAAATTTCGAATGCCTGATTAGCCTCCACTTTATCCTTAAAGATCGCATGCATGGAATATGGTGCTCCTTCGGCCTTCTTATTTAGCTGCCAGAAATTATTCGCTGCATTAGGCACTCGGCATCAATTTAAATAAGTGATTAAACTTATCTGCTGGGGACAATCTGGGTAAATGGTGACTAAAATCTAATTCCGGATTTGGGGTTTACCAGTTTCCAATTCAAGTTGAGGGAAAAGCTTACAACTGGCTTAGACACACACACACACAGAGAGAGAGAGAGAGAGAGAAAGAGAGAACTTTCCTTTCTGAGTCTACTTCATGTTGCACGAGGAAGGGAGATTTTATTTCTTGCATGCAATATAAAGTCTTGGAATATTTTTTGCAAGCTCAATGTAAAAAGATTAACATAAAATTTGAAACAATTTTAATCATCAGTTTACAACTCCACGGCAGTTCCAAAACAACAAAACTTTCAAAATATTTGAAATGTCTTGACCAAAAGCTGTATGGTTTAGTAACCAGTGTCAAGGTTTATACGGGCTAACGCACAAACAAGGAGAGAAATAAAAACCGAGTGGTGGACTATTTCTCTCCTGTCTCAAGTCCAAATTATTGACACACAAAAGGCATTAAGGCATCATCACAGTGATCTTTCTTTCTCTTATTTTGTTTTCCTGGACTACTGCTACAAGTCTTTGACACAACAAACCGTTGCTATTGTCAGAACTTGAGGGCAGCCCTCTGTGATGGTTGCTCTCTTGTGTGCGATAAACAATTGAAAGATGAAAATATGTGGATGGATCATTAGAACCACCCATACATAGTTTGTGAGGGAAAAAATTTCATCAGGAAGCATCATTTTTTCTGTCCTAATATCTTCTCAAGTAAATGGACTTTAAGTTGCCCCAAATATTAACTTCAAAAAGTATAGAGAGACAAACAGAATACACCAAACCTTAAGCTCAAAAGTAAAACTCTGAGGGAAAACTCTTCGTAATTCTTTCTCACGAACATTAGCAGGTATCCTATGAATAAGTAGCTTCGCCATTTCACTTTCTGACACCTGAAAGAATGATATCCCAAAACAAAATTATTACAAGTCTCACATCAGTCCGAATTTGAGATGCTTAACAACTGTGTCCTTTAACTTACATCCCTTCCATGTTCTTGAATCAATGGGATTTCGGTATCTACTCCTCGCTCAATCTTTGCGAGAACGACTTTCATTGCAGCACATGCATCATCTAAACAGTTGTGTGGAGAACCTTCCTTGCGAAGTTCATAACCGAGCACTTCCTGCCAAACAATACGTGAAAATGATTAGCCTTGCATCTAAAACAACTGCTCTCCATCATTTGGAACTCCTCAAATTGATCATAAGAAAGAGCTAACAGAGATTAAGGAAGAGAGAGAATGAGAAGGGAAAAAAAAAGATCACAGGCTAGTCGTGGGAGGAACCATCCTAAACATTCCAATGCAAAATTTTAATTTGAACACCCTATCGCTCAATCTGGTTGTCAAATAGGAATTGCATCTGCTCACTCTGAAGATGCTCTAACTGAAATGAGTTTTCATTTAATGAAATAGAACTATAACGATTGCAAATCTTAGTACGAGAGGAGTGCAGAGCATGCCTAATCAGTTCAGCATCTTACCTTACACAAACTACTCAAAGAAGGTGTCTTTCCATCTGAAGTCTTGAAGATAAATGAGGTGTCAACTACTCTTGCATGATCTATCTTTAGAGCTGTCAATAGTTATACATCAACAAAGTAAGATTAGGAGCTGATGATAATATTGCAACATAAACATAGCACCCCATAGTCTAATCAAAACAACCTTGAGAATAATAAATGCTCAATGTACCTTGCAAATCATTATATAAACCATGACCTACTAAAATAGTTCCTTTCGATAACAGCTTCTTCATGGATTTCTACAGAGATACACTACACATATTCAGGCAAGAAAGCCAGAGGGAGGACAAATATACTCATGTATGATCGACGCCACACCTGTATATTCGCCAACGAACAAGAGACTCCATCCAAGTCTCCTGAAGAAACTCCAGTTATCTCAGTTCTATAATCTGCAACTGGTTTGCCAGGATTTATTAATTCATCAAGTTTTACCTGAGAAGTCAGAGCTCAGAGTTATTATGATTTTGGCACCCAAACTATCATGCACATGTTTCAAATTGGCAGCACTTTTTCCCAGTTAACCACTTCTCAAGCATATATAAGCTCCTAATATAGCCTCCTATCAAATGAAGGAACTAATCTACAGTGAAAGTGTGACTGATACCTGCAAATTGCAATCCACAACACACACCCTCACCAAAGCATCAGTGCCATCTTCACAAAGAACCATCTCACAATCCACAGCAAGCATATCATTTGCTTTCATCAGCTTGGACTTTTTGGGGATCTTTGTTACTAGCCACTCCTGCCACGTCATTCCATAAAATAGAACATCAACAAGGCAAGTTAAAAGAATTGACAATTGGGCCTCGCTGCTATGTCTCTTTTAATCAAATAAGATCATCAATTGGGAAAAAGGAAACTAAATCAACACATGCCAAGAATTTCATTTTTAATTAAAATACTGAATATTAGCTGCATATGGAGTTTACTCATCTTACACATTCCACAAATTGTCCTAGGACGTTAACCAGACTCTTCCAATAAACCAAGTAGCTACTTTTATTTCTTATCCTTTGGATGAATCATATAATTCTAGATTTCATCCCTCAACTGAAAAATTTCCTGGAATTTTAGGAATAACAATGATCTGATAAACAGAAG